TCATGACTTCGAAACATCAATTATTCTTACCAGAAATATGATGAGCACTGTTGGGTTAGATAAACTGCACAACTTTGGAAGCTTTTCATTGACTTCGAAGAAAGAAAAATGATTTCAAAGAAGTGGCGGTCGTTCCCCGGGGATCACTAGGGGATCGTACAAAAAGCTCTAAAAATCCGCTTGTTCAGCTTCTCGCTCCCGTTCAGTATGTTCATAGTGAAGGATGGTAGGAATACTTACGGACAGGTAGACAGCGTGAAATCCAGAAGTTCTGAGCTTCAGGATATGAAGCTTTCTTTTAAGCTGCGATCCCCTCCCCAGCTCTCCTGTTCGTGCATGCGGCCCTTAGAGTTTCTGGCTTGTCTGGTTTTTTCTGATGCAAAATATCGCTTTTAATGGCCTAAAATCTTTCTCAAAGTTTTTACTGTAATCCTACAATGAAGAAAGATAGAGAATCATCTCATGCTGTAAATCTAAGTTATACCTCGCTCTACAGAATGGTACCTCAAGCTCGGCAAAAGACATGAAAGCAAGAAAGTTGATAACGATCAAACAGTGTGCACCTTTTTTTGGGACACTCTGTATTTTGCATCCATTTTTGCACCGCAAAAATTGAATGGACACATATGAAAGTCATTCTTCGCAAGCGTTTATTTCTTTTATTTCCAACCTTTGATTATGTACACGAACCTTCTGCGTCAGATTTCATGCGATTGAAACGCAGCATTACGTAAATGCAGTTACCAACATTCCAACACCACCCGTTCAGAAAAAGCCCTGGTTTTTCCGGGCTATATCCAGTAAATGTGCAACGCCAAGCGTAGTATGAAACCAGGGTGAAGCAGTTTCCATGGTGATTGTGTCAGTCGCTTTTCTATGCTCGATAGATATGACCGCTAGTTTGCCCAGTAGTGTAATTCTTATTTGTTAGTACTGATTTCCAGCCTCAATCTCATCCTTTTTGTGAGGCGCTTTTAGTTTTGAATCCTCTTCGATATTTTATTACAAAGATTCAAGTTATTTTCTAGTGCGCAACATTTCAAATTATTTTCTGATTCAGCAGCAAATTCAGTTGATCATCGCTTAAATCTTTCCTTTCTCGACTGTTCTGAGTGAACTTTGGGCTGGGAACATGATGTGATAACTCGCGGAGTCTCTACGAACACAATTTATGTGTATTGGACGCGGATTGCGCTAGATTCTTATTTCCATGGTCTGGTTCCTTCCCTTTTTGACGCCTACTTCTTCAAAACATATTTCGGTGTTAAAGGAAAACTTCTACGCACTCTGAAATAGAAATAATAAAGAAACTAGTTTGTGGTGATTCAGAGACAAGCAAAGAACATCCCTTTCGTAGGTGGTCTAAAAAATTTTTCGCACAATCGAAAATACAGGCAAAAACTCCAAATTTAAATACCCAGCAAAGCTCTTCCAAAGCTTACCCTTGCGTTCATTATCAGCTGAATTTCAGCATTTTATCAGTCTACTCCCATTATCTTAATCGGATACATTTCTCTATGCAGTGAAACTGAGCGACAATGCATCTATTGATCTTTCCTCCTTTACTACTGTTTGTTTTGTACTCTTGCGAAGCGGATGCACAAGCATACATATGCCTGTCTGTCCAGCTCTAGGCTACAAAATTTCTTGGCTTTTCAAAGGTGTACAAATTTTAGACAAATTTTCTCATGCGGCATACCAATATAAATCTATAAAAGTATTTTTGCTCCATATGTACTTTTAGCCTGTATAAGGAATGCCCTTACACTTCGGAAACGATGATTTATACTGTCTATTGATTTCAAATATTGACTTTTGGTCAACCTTGTTTGCACTAATCTGGGCGGGATTTGACGTTTATGCCCATAGTTGCGCTCATCAATGATTGCCACACATTTTTTCTTTTCTGGACATAATGAGTGTTATTTCCGCTGCTCAGAAATCACTTTCTGGTTCCAGTTCAGATGTTGCAATGCTAAAATCACAGGAGGAAACGTGGAAAGAGGAACGAGCAAAGGCACTCGAAGAATGGAGCGAAGTAAGTTTTTGCAGTGGTGGCAAGGCTTATATTTCCTCCACTTGCTGTTGGTTCCTTCAAGCTCGTAATTATGAATGTATGCTATAAGATCATTAATCCAGTAAATTTCGCTTTGGGATAATGCAGTTGATCGGGACACATTTACTTTAAGGCTGAATGATCATTTGCTTTCTATCATGTGAAAATACAGACTTGGGCTTTCGCCGATCCTAGACTTTACATTCCCAGAATATAAAGTTCATTGCTTAAATTGAGTATTGGCGATGTAAGATTTTCGATATCAAGATTTTTTCGAGATATCAAGATTTTTTTCGAAATCTTATGCGTGAATGTACGTATATTCCTTAGTTGATGATCGTGATTTCATCTTGCGTGTTTCTCACTATTTTCCTACTTCGGCTCTACAGAAAAGAAAAACATGTTTTGACCTCCAAATTTTTTGCTCACTGTCAGAGCTCAGACTTGTTCTATGCCAATGTCTTTATATCTGTTTGTACTTTATCAACAGTGTACGCAAGTTGTCAGGATTGCGAAAATTAACTTATGCTCGTATATCGCATTTCACATTTTGTGAGGAAAAATTGCTTTGCCATTTTTCAAAAGTGACACTTGACATTACACTCTACAGTCTTTCTACAGTCATTACAGTCTTTCTAGTACACGTTGGCTCAAACTCACGAAGTTCACATCAACCCAAACAAGAATTATTTCTGTGTACTTCGTGAGATAATATTCCCGTCCTTCGTAATATGGAAGTGCCTAGCGACAACCAAACTAGTTTTCTATTATTTGTTTCTATGTATATCGACCAGTAAATTACATATGTGGAATAGTGCCGCACTTTTTACTCGTGTTCACTCCAAATATATGCTGCAAATTCTTTAGCACTGAACTACTTGTTACATCATGCTATGAACATAGTATGAACAGAATCAAAAAAAAGGAATACAGTTATATTTTTAGAGCAGCTGTCATTTTATCAACTTCTTGTATGTTTGTTGGGGTGGGAACTTTTTGTGACTTCGCCAGAAATTCCCAACTCTATCACAGAGTGCACTAAGCATAAGTAAAGCAAAAACGCGCTCTGCTCTTTCGTGCATCAGAAAGCGCTTTCAGGAGAGATTCGGACTTTCGATAAAAATCTTTTAAATCAGCTAAACGGGAAATAAAAAGAAATTTTAGCATAAGAAACTGATCGACAAGACAAATTCTATTTGTGGGAATGTGGGATCATAGTAACAAGCACTACTGCTGCGTCGTTCGTTACGTTCAAACAAGAGCTGCGCAAATATTGAAGTGCAGTACAAAAGAGGAACACATTCGTGTAAAATCATCGCCATTTCTCATATTCATGCAAAACTTCAAGGTATTTTTTGCAAAAAAATGAGCTCAGCAAAAAAACCTATGGATTTGTAAGTTGGGCCATACGGATAATGCAAACCAAAGTTCAAGGGAACTGATAAATGAGTATTGAACTCAAGCTTCTGCACTCTTTTCATGAGGATAGTAGAACATTTATGAGTTGAGATGACGTAGTTGGTCATGATTGTTCATATGCCTGATCATCGCTGGCAAGACATTCTTACCTTCTATGTGTTTACTGTGGTGTATTTTGTCGTAATTTTATGATTTTTGAAGCTAAACAATTTATTCTTGTTAGAATGCAAAAACCCTTTCTAACTTTCTTCCTGCGAATTTTTTCCGTTCAAATTCTTACTCAATTTTGTAATCTCTTCCCGGCAAGTTTATTTACTTTGCTCTCTGACGCAGTTCCTTACGCGGTCCACGCAGACCTCTCATGTTTGTTACGAAATCTAAAGATGTGCTTTCTTTTCTAACAACTCCCTATCATTATCTTTCTACCTGCTTCTGTGCTATTTTAAATTCAAAAAAAAAAACATGCATTAACAGTCACTTTGTGCTTACTTTCTTGTTATGTTTAATTTCAACGAACCGTCCCTTGCCGCAGTTCCACTCATCAAAGCAGCAGTTTTTCATACGAATTATTAATCCAACAATCACATAATAGGCTGATCGAAAATTAATGTATAGGGTTAGAAGCGAAATAGGCTTAATGGTAACTCTTCATTAGTTTATTATCTCATGGAGCACTTAGAGAACAACTAAATAACCACAAATAAAGAAGAGATCGCTCCTCTTCTGGCAGACGTTACGACATACCAGACCTAAGTAGCATGAGGACAATGAAGTTTGTCAGATTTTTTTCTGATTATCAGGATGCTATGTTGGTTGATTCTAGTAAACGAATTAACAGTGAACAAAAATTACCTTCAAAATTCTGAACAACAGCGAAAAAAATCAATACATTTGAGTAGATAGAAAGACAAAAGTATTACAGGGAGATTTACAAGTATGCACCATTCGGCTCGAAAAATTCGAAACTGATCAAGTGCAGTAAAATGATTTGTATTGTAAGCTCTGATAATTATCAGACTAAGTCGATCTAAACCAGCCCAGTCGCAAATACGTATAACACTGCATCTTTATGGCAATGGGCTCATACTTGAGCATATTCGGTCATTGACAGTCTTTGCTCATATCAATATCTTTAATCAAATGGATCTCTTCCTGGTTTCCTGCCAAATATGCCTACAACATATAAACTGTTTAATCGACTTATAGACAGTTTTTTCCATGTTAAACTCCCATTTTTTGAATACTTTCGTTAGTAGTATTGTACATGCTCACTGCACAAAGTTTGCAAAAAATATGCAAAAAGCGAACCCAGCCTCCAAGACTAGGTTCGCTTCATTGATAATTATGTTCGTCAACGTTCATTGCGTTTCTGTCCATAACGAAGTTTGTGTAAGGAATTAAAGGGCAAGATAATCGAACTGATATTGAAAGCAGAGGACAGCACGGGGACAGCCATAACTGTCCAAAGAGGATCCATGGTGGCTTTGTTTTCTTCGACCTTTGCCGAATACGAGAGAGAGGGTGAGAGAGGGTGGGTGCCAGAAGCACGGGTGCAGAGCCTCTTATTGATTCGTCGTCGTTCGCAGTTGTTCTATGTCACCTAAGGTATGTTATTTTGCATTTCAGTTGCATAGTATGTATACTTTTTAGCAGCGACCCCACTATAGTCAAATACAAACTTTAGTTCGTACAAATTTTTTGACAGAAATTTTTGGTGGAATTTTTGATGATGATTGTTTGCTTGCAATGATAGTACAGCTGTTAATGTTATCCATGAAGAGATGTTACCTGCAGATAAATTCCGAAACGCTGAAAATCTGCCTTCGTCCTAAGCAATTTTTTTCCAAACTTTGAACTTCGAGCTCGATTGTCCATGAGCCTTGCCACAGCTTTGTGATTTCCTTTTGTGTTCCTCAGCATCAAAGTGCTAGCTTAGTTATCGGAGAGTGTTACTTGTTCGGTTTCCGCTGAAAAAATAAATAAAAAATTTGCATTATTCTTCGAGCTAATTTGCATCACTAAAGCGATATTCTTTGCTTTACTTCTTTGTATTTCACTCTTATTCTTGCCCCCACTACATTTATGGTAATTTGATAAAAGCTTTCCAAAATAATTGATCGCCCGGAATAGTTTTAACATGACTAATCACTCAGTATCCAAAATTATGCACTTTTCGATGAAGACGTTCACAGTGTCCTCCATAAATTGTTTCCGGATTCGCACCCATTTGAAATTAATTTAATACTATCATAAATTTCTCTTTCGTCGCTTTATCTTTCGGTATCCTCATCCTCTAGCATTTTTGAAAATATATGACTTTTTCAACCACGGCTCAGCACGGGTGGCTTATAAGCAAGCTGGATATGGTTCTTGGGACAAAAATCAAAGGGGATATCGCTTATGCGGTCTGAAATAACAAACTAGGTTTCTTAGTCAACGTTTACGATTTTGGGTCAAAAGGAGCTTCATAGAATTTTGAAAGTTAGAGGGGACTTCGTTTTTTTTTCTGCATATTCGGAAAGCCACTTCGTGTCGAGCTCTGTTGTCAGCCATGCTAAAATGCATCTAATAATCAGCAGGTATATCCTACTGATATGTCTGTAATTTTTCTAACCACTATCATTACTTCTGTTATTTTTGATAAGCCCAAGGGCAACTCTAGAAGGTGTCAGTATCATCGCGTTCTCAGATTTCATACTCGGTTTCTCATTACCTACAATGCAAAATTCAGACTGGTGCACTAATTGAGTCACTAAATGTACTTTTATGCTATTGTCAGATAAGTTTGATTAGCTTGTTATTGTTCTTTTAGTGCATCGGACATGTTAGGAGTGTGCTTGCAGGATTTAGGTACAAAAGTACAATAGTTTCGCTGACAATTTTGTAATTTCTGGCATCGATTTTGAGCACTTATTGTAGGGGTGACCAAGATTGCACAAATAGAAGTAATGTTGACCTTTCGTGGCATTCGAAGCATAACTTAGGCCATCAATGACTAAGGCCGTAAGCTTTTATATTCCGTGATCCTCTCAACTGCTAGAATGCATAGCTTTCTTCTATGAATCTTCTCGCACTTCAAGGGCGCTTCGTTTATGATCGTAAGACCTTCCTCTAAAACACGCTTTCTTAATATGGTTATTCGATATGGAAAATGACTGTGATCAAAATGGCTTTCCGCGAAACTACCGCTATCTTTCATGTGGGTTTATGTTTTCAATAAAATAGTATACCATATAGTATGCTTGTGGATCTGGTCCTTGGAAGGAATCTATATGAGCATAAATTTCACTCATCAAAGCATAGCTCCATTTTTCAAAATAACGAAGCGTCATTCCCATATCTCAATCTTAATTCGCAGTTGCTCGTCGTTTTATGCTTGTTCTGTCCTTCAGTTAGCTTATACGAAAGATGAAAAGTGGAACCTTATGAACCGGAGAAAAGAACAGCTCTTCTTTTTTTTCTGTTACCATACAGTTGTTGACCTAGTTTCCAACTAAGTTTGTGCGCATCTAATTTAATCTTTGGAAGAATGCTGTAAGAAAGAAATACCAGAATGCTGGAAGAAAGAAGAACAAAGTGACTATATCACCTCAGTGATCGTAATTTTTTTGTCATAATCAAGTTTGCACGAACTTATTGTCATTTTCAAGTGAGTACTGAAAGGTTTGAAAGCTCGCAAAGGGTTTGGGACCATCTTGATGCGCAGAAGAAATTGTAACGAAACCTGTCTAGTAAATCTTGGAAATCCCTCTAAAGCGTTATTTTTGAAGCAGAGAGCATTTTTCTTCATAGAATGTCTTATTCGTGAGAAGTTTGCTACGGTAAAATATGAAATAAATACCAAATCACTGATTCTTTTAGTAAATCATCATGTTGAGAAAAGATTGTTGAATTATTAACCTTGAGGTCATCATTTCTTCCTCCACCTAAAAGCAATATGTTTGTAAAACAGCTCTCTTGTTTTCTTGCAGGCGCAATTGATGGTCTTACCAATTCTGGGGCTTACGCCTCTTTGAATGAAGCTCCTTGTCCCTGGGGATAGTTCGTAACGCATCCATGCTATACATAAAAGAGAGGAAGGAGGGAAAATGGTAATTATTTACCGTTGTTTCCCTCTGGACCTGGAGTTTGTCTTCTTTACCATTACTTTATATAGAACGCTGCAAATCACTTAGGTCACGCATATCATCAATTTCAGAAAGCAATGATGATGCTTTTATTGAGCTATTATCACATTTCAAATAAGAAATTTGAAAATGTTACAAAGTACTTGTGAATCTTTTACCAATTGCTGTAAAAATCTTGAGAGAGTTTGCGATTAGATCATTTATGTGGAATATCTACGATAAAGACTTGCTGCAAAAAAAAACTTGAGAGACGTAAGTAAAAAAAACTGGAAATTCTTTTGTGAACTTAGGTGAAAATGTCTGTAGGTGAAAATATCTTTCTCTTCACTTAAAACTTTTGTCTTTGCTTTGTCTTGCCTTTTCTGGAACTTACGCCGGCAAAATTCAATCATGGACCGGAAGCGCAGAGAGAGAACAACGCCTCCAAAAAAAATCTGGTAACTCCTAATTCATAATTGCGTTGTGTGCCGTCAGTTCCAAGAAATGCATTTGGAACCGTTTTTTGGTGTTTTCTGCACTTTCCGGCTCTTATGGGGATGAATAGGTTATAATGCCGCGCATGTTTACGTTGCGATTGACGGTCTTCTACCCTTCTGAAGTGATTGGGAAGAGGTTTTAAAGCAGTATCTTACATCGGTTCAGAGCACTTACTCGATTGCTGGTTCTACTGTATCTCGCTACACCTAACCTTACCCTGGTCCTTTAATCTTGCCTCGCGCACCTGCAGAATGATCCCAATAGTACCTTTTGGTACTATTGGGATCATTTTTGATATTCTGTCAGTTTTCCTCAAGTATTTTCAAAAAGATTTCTCTATTGATTATTTTATATTGAGATTTTTTACTCTCGATCGATCCTATACACTCAGTAGTAATTTCATGTGAAAGGTATGAAACACCAATCGCTTAAAGATGTAGAAAAGGCCGTTTTTTCAATTAACTTGAAAAACACGTAGTTCTGCAAATTTGCAAAAGAAGAATAGGAATTTCTGAATCAGTAAAGCTCCTGCAGATCACTTTGAAACAGTTTACGAGCTCTCAGTCAGATCCAATTTTAAGCGAATTTTTTGTTTTTGATGTCTTCCTTAGCAGTGCGTCATAGCAGTGCTGATGCGGCCATTTTCCATTCACCTTTTTCTAAGCAGTGAGTTGGCTAATAAATAAGTTCGTTTTCATGCAGTTTCAAAGCTTCACAACAATCCATGTCACAGCTATTCAGCTGAGATTGTTTCGTAACATAGCTGCCAGTCTCTACTCTCAATATCAAGTCGAGATTTCCCGTCGCCAGAAAATGACAGTTATGTATGCCCTTATATGGTTAGACTTCTGAAAAACAACTTGTCTGATTTTCTAGCTTACGTTTTGAGCCTGTATTGAGTACACAGGCGAGTTGGTGGTTGGATAGCCTTTGGCTAGGTGGCCAATCACAATGGAGTGTGACCTGCTCTCTGTGAGTGTATGCAGCCAAAAATCTGAAATTCTTCAAGTATTTGCGCGTGGATGTTGAATTTTTGGAAATCCAGATCACTCGAACTGACCATCTTTGGTCATGCAAATGGTTGGATATTTGATGATTTGTTGTCTGGGTACCGAATCTACATTTTACACCTGACTTTAGTTCGTTTTTCGGAGCCTGAATTTTCGAAAACTTGAGGAAAAACCTGATCATTTTTCTTTCCTGCTCCTCGTTACCAGAAACTTCATTCTGATTTTCCTTGATTTGCTCTTTTTAATGGTATCTCATATATACACAAAAATTGATTTGTGGCATTTTTGCAAAACCGCTAAAAGCGACCGAACTTATTCTTTAGCCAGCCTGACATTACTCAAAAGAGCTCTTCAAGCGCTTTTGACCGATTACGGTAGACCATACGTTTCCAAGATTTTGTGGAAACGAACTAGTTTTTAAAGCTAAAAATCCAGCTTATCTCCAGCGAACTTTTCTAGAAGATTTCAAGGTATCTCGCTGTCGAGTTTGAGATGTAATGCACGCATGTAGCAGTTACTTTGAGAATCTCTCAACTTTTTAAAATTTAATGGAAGTTTTAGAATGCCGAAGCCTTGTCAAGAAAACTATTGTCAGAATATACAGCTTTTCGCAGAATCTCACAATTTTTTTTACATAGATATTTTTGGAGTATGGCCATATCTGATGGCATAATGGCTGTTGTTTTACAATGCTGCTCTTTTTTCAGATTGAGTTACGGTTCCCGGATGGTCCACCACAAGCGCATCCTGGCTCGTTCAAACAGAATGGTATGGATTCCCAGCGTCGCCCTTCGGAAAAGAATGGCGCCCCCTATTTCCATGATCCCGACCCTTTAATAGAAGAGGTTCTAAATGAGGGCTATGAGCAAGAGATGGTAAGTGCAATTTTGTCTTTGGCTACAGTTGGGTAAATAAGTTTTGTTTATAGGCAGCTGTAGCATCCACAATGGCTCCTGTTCATTCCTCCACCATTAATGTGATTGTACAAAAATGCTTATGTAGGCCAAAGCAACATCTAGAAAATGCTAGTTTGAAGCGAGAAAGAAACTTGTTGGTGGCATTGAGCACGGGTGAGTATAAAATTGAGCGAGAAACTGGCTTTCATCTGTGAATAAAAAACAATTTCTTAGATCGAATACGAATTCAAATGAGTTTCATAAAAAAACTTGCCTTACATCACGTGACCTTTTTCAAGACCGTAGAGCTGTAAGCTTGCGCAGAGTCAGGTGATATAGGTTTTTTGGGGATATATTAGGTTGGACCGAAAGTTCGTTCGCACCATTTTCAAAAATTCCTAACTCTTTAAATTCTCAACGAATTTGTATGGACAGAATTTTGCGTAAGGGAGGAACTCATGCTCTTTGCATCTATACTTGAATGTTCGCTAATGTGTGCAAATGAAGAAGATAGAAGCTCAAAACCAAAATAACTCAGAAAATTTGAATTTTTCGTGTAGGGTCATAAAAATTCGGAAACTTGCAGTAAAAATCGGAGCCGTCGGTATTGTAGGTTCTTTCACCAGCTCTTTCTAACGGTGCAAAGTTTGCGCCGATTGAGCGTCTCTATGAAAAGTTACGATTTTCGAGCAAGCAATACAAAAGGGCGATTTTGATTTATTTTGGTATTTTTCAGGGAAATCGTAACTTTTCATAGAGACGCTCAATCGGCGCAAACTTTGCACCGTTAGAAAGAGCTGGTGAAAGAACCTAAAATACCGACGGCTCCGATTTTTACTGCAAGTTTCCGATTTTTTATGACCCTACACGAAAAATTCAAATTTTGAGTCATTTTGGTTCTGAGCTTCTATCTCCTTCATTTGTACACATTAGCTAACAGTTCAAGTAAAGATGCAAAGAGCATGAGTTCCTCCCTTGCGCAAAATTTTGTCCATACAAATTCGTTGAGAATTTGAGAAGTTATGAATTTTTGAAATTGGTGCGAACGAACTTTCGGTCCAACCTAATATATTAGCTAACACTCCTCTACTAACAAAACCGTTTTTCTCCACAATTTTGCTACGTTTATTTCGCTACACACACAAAATTGAAAAAAAAAGCTGCCTTCTTCTCCCTCTTCCTGCTCGTACTTATTGTTAGTAGTAGGGAATAATATGGTCTATGCTAATCTGGAGATTGTTTGTTGATAGTTAATCGTCAATTCACAAGAACTGATATACATCTTCAACTTCTGGTAAATTGGTTGCGCGGTTCTTATCTGATTTAATGTTTGTTGTGGCGCTTGTCTTTTTTTTTATTTAGATTGTATCTTGCGGCTACTTTTAAGGGCAGCTTTTTTGAGATATCCTGGGTGACAAAGTCCCTTCATAAATATCAGAACTGAAAAATTATAACAAACTGTGAGAACTGTATGCGAAAAAACATTTACTTTTCTTTTCAGTTCCCTACTGCAATGCATCAGCTTCACAATGGGCCTTGCTTCGTGGTTTTTATACTGCAGCGGCGACGTTTGCCCTTGAGGAACCAGCTCTGGCCTCAGAGTGCCCTCGGAAGGGGAACCACTGGCAGATTGTTGGCTTTCAAGGTAAGGCGCTTTGATAAAAATAAATTCTTCATTTTTCGTTATTATAAGGGTCAACTGGTACTTTGCAATGACAAAACCTGTATATCAAATTTTTGAATTTATTAGAGTTTCAGTTGGATAGTTCGGTATCACCCAACATTCGCCAAACTATGGACGCCATCGCTAAATTTGAAAGATTCGTTCAACATATACACCTCAAGAAATTACTGTCTGTTTTTATCTCTATCTCTCCGAAAAAATAGCATTCGTAAGCTCCACATTTCACTAGATCCTCCGCACCCTCACCTACATAGAATCTCCAGTTTTTCTCAAAAATTGAGTTGAGTCGCCCGGACAGAGTTCAAGCGATTTGATCGTCGCGATTCAATCGCCGAGATTATCATTCATTTTCATTCCACATTCAAAAATTTCGGACTGGAAAAGTATCACAACCGAAATGCAAGCTGGTCGGATGCAATGAACTCGTATCAGTTGTCTTGCCGCGATTCCCCCAACAAGATGAAGAGTTACGAGTCCATTGCATGTCTATCATCATCTTGCATTTCTGTTGTGATAGTTAGTCACAATTGCTCGTGTTGGAGAACTATCACAACCGAAATGCAAGATGATCGGCATGCAATAGACTCGTGACTCTTTGCCTTGTTGGGTGAATCGCGGTGATGAAATCGAACACTACCCGAGGCCTAAAGAGCCTGGCATACTTCACACGATTTCAGTCGCGACGCGATTTGGCAATTCGCAGAAGTCTTCAGATCCAACACTAGCAAACAGCGCAAGCATAGTGTATATAACTTATGCGGATTGATAAGATGCCCTATCTTCTGTACATTCAGAATGTGCTTACAGTGAGCCATGAATAGTTGGAATATTGCCAAATCGCGTCGCAAATGAAATTGCGTGAAGTATGCCCGGCCCTTAAGGCGAGATCTACAGTTTTTGTCACGGTGCCAGAACGAGGTCTATCTCCTCTCCTTTCACATTGCTTCTGGTCAGAATTTCCAGAGTCCTTGGCTCAATTTAGTCGCCGTACTGTTTCACGGAACATCTACATTTTTACAACATGAATGGTGCTAGACAGGGCTCGGCACAGGTGGCTCATAAGCAAGCTGGCTACTATTTTTGGGACAAAAAACAAAGGTGTTTTTGCAGGTCGGAAAACACAAGTGAAATCAGTTTTTTTTAATCAGTCGTCGTTGTGTAGGGTTTTTTAATCGATTCGGATAAGGGTCAAAGGAAACTTCGTAAAATTCTTGGAAGTCAGGGGGACTTCGTTTTTTTTCATTTTCGGAAAGCCACCTCGTGCCGAGCCCTAGTAGAGCCAGTTGCAATTTCATTGGTGTAGGGGGACAATTGGACCTTTGAAAAATTCATAACAACCAACTTTTTGATAACATAAGGTTTTTGCACAACGTCAAGGATTCTCAAAAAGAGATCTCTTCACTTAGATAAAGAAGTTGCTTGCACTGTCGTACCACCTATGCTCGCTTATAAAAACATGATTAGTTGCGGCATTTCAGCTATCTCAGCAGGGTAACCGAACAACAAGTTTCAGAGTCAAGAAACTCCTTTTTTCGATTCTTTCCGGAAGCGCGGAGTCTAGTATAGAAGTTGAGGCGTTTGCCACAGTTTAGGTTTTAGTCGAGCCGAGTATTTATGCTGAATACGACTATTCTTTCATGAAATTCTTTATTCCAGATTCATACTGTGCTTGTCTAGGCTCAGCCGCAAATTATCAAATTCAGGCGATCTCTGCGCTATTTTTGCTGACATCCCGTCCCATATTTTATGTACGTCGAAGTTGCAGAAATAAGTTTCCTCACCATTTCAGGCTGCGATCCAGCGACAGACTTTCGTGGCACAGGTATTCTCAGTCTCATTCAGCTGTATAACCTAGTACAAACGCTACCTGAAAGTAAGCTGGCTGCTGTCGTCCAGCTTTCTCGAAACGAACCTCATGTTAGTACGCCTTTTTCTCATTCACAGTGAAAAGGTGAGATGTCGGTTTAGGACTTCCCCTTTGCTGTTGTGGGAATAAACATCACAGCCCTGTTAGTAACTCGACTACGTAATGGCGAGCTCATCGAGTAAGTTTTTGCAACTCTATCAAGTCTGATCACTTTTTTCCATTCTCGATAAACCGGTAAATGAGTGATTTTGCTATATCGTCAAATATTGCTTCACCTGTTCTTTTTTGCCAGATTATCAAGTATAGATGTTCACTACTTACTTGCTTATTTGTTTACTAGAACAGTGAACCAGGAACCTAAAAGTGAGATTTGCACGTTCGCTGCGAGAGCCGTTCAGTTTCCCGCAATTTCATCTATTTTGTTTAGGCACAATTCTTTACGTATAGACAGATATCAGTGGCGTACCCAGGATTTCGGCTTGGAGGGGGGGGGGGCGACAAAAATTTTTTTTAATGAAGGTGCGTGGCGTTAGCAACGCACTCCGGAAAAATTTTTGGGGTGCTTCTCAAAATTTTTGCGGGTCCCTAACCCCTAGTGGCGTCAGCCACGCCCCCGAAAAAAAATTTTTATAAGGCTGAAATGAATTTTTAAAAATTTTTAAAAAATATCTTAATTGTTTATAAGTATAAACAAGTCATTTGCACAATTTTATAACATGAAGCTGTTTTATTACACCATATCCCAATTTCAGGTCTGCTCTTTTATGTGGAGGATATCTCAAAGCCCTTAATAGACTTTACCAGTCATGTATTATTTTATTTTGTAAACAATGGAAAGAGGAGAACTGCACAGTGAAAGATTGTCAACATATACTCAATAGTAAGTTCATGAGAATTGTGTAGTGTTCCAAGCAAACCCAAATCATTTTAGAAATCGACACTTTACTGCGGCAGTCTCAAAAATCGCTGCTGAACTCTTAATTGATGGTGCTACTGGAATAAAATTCTATGTACATTGTATTTTTGCTTAAGCACAATGACAGCGAGCAAACAGATGATTTCTGTACTTTACTTTTACTGAACGGACTCCCTAGCATTGATGTTGATTTGATGGAGGCGTTTCATTCAAATACAGGTTCAAAAAATGTGCACACTGATTGTTCAGAGCGAGTTACACTCTTTATTACTGTAGGATTACGGTAGGGACTTCCAGCATACAAAACGATTGTGACATAGACCGTCTAACAAAAAATCACAACAAAGCATCAGGGCAAGTATGCTGATTTCGTACGATATTACGACTTTTTGAGCATTGGATTGAGCATTGGGCATTGAACGTTCCTCAGATCACATTTCTGAGGAAAGTTGAAAAAGCTGTTGTTATGGTATACCCGGAACAACAAATGAAAGAGGCATTACGCGTTGAAGTGCTAATTTCATATTTGAAACTAGCGAGTTTGATTAACTATCATCAGGTTACTGGTCCGTTCACTTTTCTTTCTGAGGCATAATGTCACTCCTAATAGCTTGGACCCTCTTCGAAAATCCTGGCGTAATCCTACGGTAATGAAAAACATTCGCTGTTTCGTTCACACTGTTGAAGGATTGAAGCCAGCTCGAAAGAGTGTTTCCCAAAGGTTCGCTGAAAGAAATTAGGAGTGTTATAAACATTCAAACAGTGTGCGCGATTTTTGGGACCCCTGCATACGCACTTATAGTTCATTTATAAAATCGTGACGACGGATTTTGATGCGGACTTTGCGCCCATCGGAACATAAAACGCTCATACAAGAAGGCATCACCTCAACGTTCAGCTTAACCATTTCCAGTGTCTAAATATTATCATACGCAAGCAAAACCATTCGACTAGAGATGAAAACCAAGAAAATGCAATTTCCGGAAGTGGCGTGCGTGTCGCGCGCGGTCGCGCCATCATCACGACTTTTCAAATGCCCTATACACAATTGCACACTCACAATGCCCTCAAGGTGGAACTGGCATCTAGGTGGCTGTGGGTGTCCCAGCTGGAAATCGTCGAGACATCTAATCTATATGTGACCTTCAAACCTGCTCAGTTGCTTCAAACGAACTGACAAAAATATACAGGTGACTCATCATATACGCAAAGACAGGGCGTCACTACAGACACTGTCGGCATCTCGCTGATCGATCGCTCTTTCACTCCTCTTGCCGTCTTCTGTCTCTATCATGCACAAACAATCACAGTCGGATGCAATGCGTCCAGTCTGTGCGTGCGATGAATCATCTGTTTCTATAAAGAAACATGTCTTTTGTCAAACAGTATATTTTTCGATACGGGTATACGGTTGATATGAACAGGCACGAGAGATTCATCATACTTCGTTTGTCAAGTGCGGTGAAGAGCTAGAAGATGACGAAGAATTGTTGACGGGAACCAAATATGTGGAAAACTCATCATGAAAATATCATGCAAAATACTGCGTTAGCTTTTCAGAACTTATAAATATTCATACTAAAAAAATATGCTAAGAACTAGAGTGTTCCGAGAAAAAGGACATTGCCGTTCACATTCAGCACTGATTGCGAAGGATGATCTTTGCGGTTCAGTACTTGAACTCCCGCTAATTAAATGATGACAACTCACTGGCAAATCTCATAAGCCCAGAAATATTGAGCGATTTAGAAAAACCTGCATCGGTGCCCTCCACAAAGCACACGATGCCAAAGGTATGCCGCTCGCTTAAAAATCTTATGTTCCAAAATCTGACTCATCGGTGGCAAAAAATCTGGTCCGCCTCCCCCGGCGATTGTTCGAGTAAGAAGACGATACGAAACGCTGTTGAAGAGCTATGCACTGAAAGTGTACGCAACTTCTACTGAATTGGGTGTTCTGCACATGTTCTGAAATTACAAGGATTTAACATGTTATCATCTGGATGAAACGGAAAGTAAATTTAAACTCTCAAGAAAAAAAACAATTTCTACTTGTTATGCTTCCAAGCTCCATTGTCTAATGTAATGTCTAGTGTGATATGTTATATGGCTACAGTAAGTAAAAACTATGCGGATGATACACATCGCACTGTAATTGAAACGTAGATCCACATCGCTCCCACACTCTAGTGCTTAAGGTGCTCCAAAAGAACAGTAGATGCAATATTCATCTTCCAGAGCAAGAAAGATTTACAGGACGAACGTGCACAGCGAGCAGAAACAAAATAGTCATATATCTCAAAAGAAAATAGGTAGTACCTTGAAATAAGATATTCATAGAGAAAATAACAGAGCTGAAAATCACTGACAAGTAGTACTCAAAGAAAAGACAACGTCTACCCGAAAGAATGTTAAGTAAACTTAGTAAGGTGCACAAAAGCAATCAAGATTAAAAATACCAAGATAACATTATTCCAAGTTACGCATTTGCTGGAGGGTGATTGTTCGAAGAATGATGGGCGTGATGCTGCTGCGACATCTCTTTTATCCAAGGATGAGCCAGAACTTGCGTTAAGGAGTATCTGCAACAGAAGTAACATAGGAGTGAGTGAATTTTCAAACCGATACCTGAGAAACGATAAGTTGTCACTGTATGAATGAAGGGGGTATATTAGCATTTTTATCGCTCATGATTCATATACGGTCATACAAACAAGTGATCAATAACAAGTGGCTTCATTCAGGCACAATGGACTCGTCTAGGCAAAATCATCAATTACACAAAAACTTCTCGAACTAAGAAGGTCCTGTGTGATGCAAAGTGTAAATTTTGTGTCCACTGCAATTATTTGAGAAGGTCAATTTGACGCAACCGAAAGCATAGATTCTACTATTCTATTCTAAGCGACTCTACCATTTCGCGATGCAGATTACATAAATGCATCACTTTGGATACCATGAAAATCAAATGGAACTTCAGACACCCGCACCAGATCTCCTTCTGGCTCACTTGATTATGTACGAAACAGAATCGAGATTTTACTTTGGCAGTCGTGAAAAATTTCTTCTAAACAACGCCTACCTCATGCTTGGCTCCTTCACTACCAGTCGTCGAATGAGGTCGGTTGGTCCTGGGCTAACAAAAGAAGGTATCTGTAAGATGTTTGAGTGGATATACTAGAATGTCGATGTGCTAAACATCTGCTTTACAATAAAAAACCTACGATGTATCTACAATTCATTATGGCTTGCAAAGTTTGGTTCTGCTCCGGATATTCGAACGGAGGCTTTCCGACAAGCATTTCGAAGAGTAAAATTCCGATTGCCCAATTATCCACCTGCAAAATGACGTCGAAGCTTTGAGAAAAGAAAAAGCAATGGTCCTTATGAAAGAACTACATCAACAACGTATACGCCTATGCAACATTCCAAAATTTACAAGTTGATGATCTCTCGGAGAACGAAAGCGTTTGAGCCAATAATTGCAGCGGAAATGTCAGATACAGATTGTTTTTTTCGCTGACGTTTTGCTTTAATTGGGAAATTTTGACAATCTGACAAAATGCAAGGTTCAAATTTTGAGAGTACTGTACAACCACGACAAAAACGTTCCACTAACAACCCAATCCTTCACCAAATTGCGAATACTTCCTAGTCAGAATGAAGAAGGGAAAAAGGAACGCACCGTGTGATCATGAGGTTTCCCGCTGATCATTTCCGGTGGTAGATAATCTAGAGTGCCACACACAGTCTGTCTACGAGAGTTTGGAGAGACTACGGCCCAGCCAAAATCAGCTACCTCAAATCGTAAAATGAAAGGAAGTTATGAATTTTTCAGTGTGAATGAACCTTGACATTGCCTTTCGAATCAAGCAGTATATTTTCGGGCTTGATATCACGATGTATAACTCGCTTAGAATGGCAGTAGCTCAAGGCATCTGCTAGCTGGCGGACACAACTGCAATAAAGCATTATAGCCATAACCCCTTGTTTTACCTTTGGAATACTCAGCGCATCTACAATGCCCGCCATTACATAAACATATTAATTAAACATGCCAAACTGAAAAAATTCTTCATACACTATGACCAACTTCGAAAGTTTGGAACTTCAAACAATTCTATAGCGAAATTAGGAGAGACAATAACAAGAAATCTTACCGTGCAGCTTCAGGTTCTTCCAATCTTCCCTTCTTTTTCATGCGACTGTAGAGTTCACCACCATCTGCGTATTCCAAAATTATGTAAACGCGCTCTTTATCATGAAAGTATCCTTTCAAGCGTAGAATATTGGGGTGGCTAAACATATGTAGGATCAAATGAAACAGTCAAATCGTGTAAATCTTGTCATGCTTGATTCTTATATATTTCTGTTCGTATGCAAACGAGCTCGCGTTAATTCCTTAACGCTGTCTGCCAAGCATTTTTCGAAAGATGCCACCGCCTCTTCATTATAATCATGGTCAAAACGACAGCCGGACTTTCGCCATATGCATGCTGTATTTTGAACCGTTTTAAATTGTGACTAAAAGTGGGATACATTACAAACTCGATTCACAAATCGATAATTGTCAAAAATTCGATATTTATAAAATTCAAGCCAAAAGTGTCAAAATGCTATGTGCCGCAGGCATCACTCAGATTTATTTAAACGGAATGAACATACCGTAAATGATACTGGATTTCAATTTCTCGCTTGACCTGATGCATGACATTATGTTTTCGAATCTGCTCCTTGAAAAGTACCTGAATAGAAAGGATGGAAGTATGAAATACACGCTGCCTGATAGTAGTTGAGGTACCGCAAATGAGAATGAAGAGGTTAGGTCAACTGATTTTGAGTTAGGCTTTGGCCATACTTTGCCCGTGTTGCCGATGTTTCCAGTGTTGCCAGTGTTGAAAGTGTTGCCGGTGTTGAAAGTGTTACCGGTGTTGAAAGTGTTGCCAGTGTTGAAAGTGTTGAAAGTGTTGCCAGTGTTGAAAGTGTTGAACGGAGATCATCAGTCTAGCAGTTTCATTCTTTCTCGAACGATCTCACCGGCTGGTGAATACGTTGGAAATGGAATTGGGGAATGATAAATGAAACTGAAGAGATGGGGAATGTTTTCGCATGCAAAAGATCCTCAAACAAACTTTTTGGAAATTGGACGGCTTGTCTGGAATAGGCAATCTCTAATATTTGGAAACGCTGCAGACCTCACTTAGGTCCTTACTCACTAATCGCAAGCGATGCAGGATTCGAACTAAAACACATTACTACTCAGACGTCAGCTTTCTCAAATATTGGAGATTGCTTATTCCAGACAAGCCGTCCACTTTTCAAAAAGTTTGTTTGAGGATCTTTTGCATGCGAAAACATTCCCCATTTCATTTCAGTTTCATTTCTCATTCCCCAATTCCATTTCCAACGTATTCACCAGCCGGTGAGATCGTTCGAGAAAGAATGAAACTGCTAGACGTGATCTCCATTCAACACTTCCAACACCGGTAACACTTTCAACACTTTCAACACCGACAACACTTTCAACACTGGCAACACTGGAAACATCGGCAACACGGGCGAAGTATGGCCAAAGCCTTAGATAAAATAGCGCCTAAATATGAGTTCTCGAAAGTCTATTCCCAATTTGTCACATCGCCTTCTCCCAACTTTCACTCACAGTGTCGTGAGCACTGGCTTCAAATCAAACCGACCTTTAGTGCAACTATGATCTTTTCTTCTTTTGACCTCGCGACGAAAACTGATCCGAATTTCCCTTTGCCCAGTGGGCGTCCAATATCAAAATCGTCGATTTCCCACATTTGATTCCTGAAACATGAAGAACATTGAGGAGAACATCCTTTGCTGTCATCTTCATAAGTTTATAGAAGATGGGTATCCGAAATCCAAATCAAAAAACCTGGAATTTCGTTGCTGTTCCGGAGGAGCAGCAGCAGTCTTGCGACTCACAGCCCTATCAGAAGTATTCTAAAACGGAGAAGTTCGGTTCCTAAAGCACTTACGAAGAGTTGCGATTACCTCAGGTCCCTGTGCGGTATGGGGTGCTGCCACGTCAGTCATACCACTGGGGAAACTTCTAAAAATTACGAACCTGTCAAAAACAATTAGCCGGTAAAGAAACGATAAGAAAGACCATTTCGGAAAAGTTCTAAATTGCAAGAATTCCCGCGCGCCAATAAGTTGACCGTGAGGCAAGAAATGACATTCGGCCATGGAATGTGTGCAGCAGCACGCTGAACACGATTGAACTTCGATAACGTGTTGAAACTTGTCAGAATGCAAATGTTCGTCACTTGTTCCATCACCAACAGTCCCATTAGATTCATCTATAATACCATCTTAAATATAAATGGCAAGGAAATTGGGATGTTGATGGCTAGTCGGCTCCGCAATGTGTTTCGCGTGATCCAAAGAAACCAAGCAAAAGGTTCTCGGTCTAGTTTCTCTGGCCTACACCTCTCCGGCCCACTCATCAACCTCACGTGTGAGAGAAACTTGATAATCACGATTCATGGAGAGCGAAAACACAGATCATCGCAATGACTCCAAGCTTCATGTCTGATCTGCTTCTGAGGCATGGCCCTTTTGAACCGCTCGCTACAGAGCGCGCCTCTGTCTGAATGCGTCGGCTCCAATAGACAAAGCTTTGATCAAGCCGGAGCGAAGGGGCGCCTCTTTAAAGGCAGTGCGTCGGCAGAATAAGACCCGTGGCAAAACAAGGCCACAGGGTAGGAGCCCCCATAATGGAACCTATGGACCAAAGTTCGATCTTTCTCCGCCACTTCTAACCCCCGAAATTTCAAAGCGAAAGAAGGGCTCATCTCCTGTCCTCTCCGAACCCGCCCACCCCATGGACGAGTGAACGCGGAACCCGTCATGGCGAAGACGCAGAGTCGTTACGGGACCTCATGCTTATAGCATTGCTGCTTGCGCTCTGACCGTGGAAGTCACTCGTCCATGGGGTGGGCGGGCTCGGAGAGGACAAGAGATGAGCGCTGCTTTCGCTTTGAAATTTCGGGCGTTAGAAGTGGCAGAGAAAGATCGAACTTTGGCCCATAGGTTCCATCACGGGGGTTCCTACCCTTTGACCTTCTTTTGCCACGGGTCTCATTCTGCCGACGCACTGCCTTTAAGCAAATAGTAGTGCTGGATGAGTTGAATCACAAATATAAACTTGTTAACCACACCCATAGGCTTTTATATATCACAAGAATAAACTTGTCAACCAAACCTATAACCTATAAAATGTGTGCAAAGTGTACTTGAATCTCTTATGCTCAGAAGAATGATGTACACTGTAAAGTATGACTCGTCATTTTTAGGATCTATGCACGATTGGAATCTGTTTTCATATAGCACGATCAAAGGCCAAGTCGATCCCCTCAAAATGTGGTAGTTTTTTGACTGTTATGACTTTTCGCACTTGAATCTCGTGGCTGATGAGCCCAAAGCTGTGCTTGTGATTATTGCAAAGAATTTACTGGGTGAGGAAAATGCTATACGCGATTCATAGCAAGCAAAGACTACGGACATATCGGCGTCTCTCTGAAGCGCTCTTTCGGTTCTCTTACCATCTACTGTCTCTCCTATGCACGAACTATCTAGGTCGGACGCAACGGCGCCCAGTCTTTGCGTGTCACGAATCGCCTATGGATGGGTGTGAAGGGAGCGATCAGACCTTTGGGGGACAATTGGCTGATGGAGCTAAATAGGCAAAACCTCCACCTTTTTAAGGCTGTGGTGCCGATTGACTCCATCTTCGCTCTAGAGAAAGTGCGCCTCCTTTCACACATAGCATTTTTCAAGGTGATACAACAAGCAACCATTTGACTTCTGCAGACACTCTGATTAAATAGCTTGGACCCACATTTGAGAGTCCAAGAGGATAAAAATGCAAAGCCAAAGATATTATTTGTCAAAAGTAGCCTCTGGAAAAATCGCCAATATCTCACTTCTACTCTCTTGGGCCTTAATTCGAGCTGAACCTAGGTATGGTTCCGAAAGGCAGTGACACGGTCGGCTCTTTCAATAAAAAGTGAGATGGCATTAGTCGTGGGATAATCTCATTCCAAACAAACGTTTTTTCCAAATTTGAAGCAATGTTTTGACTTCATTCTTTTGACCAAGTGCGCGGTAAAATCAAATATTTTTGGTCTGTTTCGAAGTATTAGGCTGAGAAAGTTTGTAACTTCTTTCATAACTTTACTCTCTTTGGATGTGGCGCACTCGAATTTTGCCACGATATAGAGCGCAATGTGTGCTACAACAACCCCGCATACTATGTGAATTTTGAACACGAATTAAAAAAAATTCCAGTTTTTTGCAAATTAGTGAAATTTGAGATCTTCTAAGGTTTTGAGCTACCGTCAATAACCAAGAAGTCAGAACTTTGAAATTGGCCGTGACTTTGCATAGCAAGGTCATTTGACCTACCAAACACGAGTATCAAATTTGTTAAAGCAACGCCTCTATCCTTGTTTAGGGTGAGACCCTATATCGTAAACCTACAGTAATCTTATAAAAAAGCCCTTATCACGCAACTTCAATATCATTTCGTGATCAACATGTCAGATAACCCCCGCCAAGCTTCAGTCAAATCAAAGTTCAAAATTTCTTCCTCATACTATGTGCCTACCGTGACCCTCAGAGTCTTGTAGCTTACATCAAAGCCTACGCAATGGCGAAATTTGAGTATACCATGTCGAGAGAGAGGAAATTTATTGTATGAGTTGCAAAACTTAGTTTCCAACCTAATAAATGCCTTGTGATAAAGGAAAGGTTATAACTGCAGTACAGTTTTTGTGTCGCTGACTATCTTACTGAAACCTTCATGAATAAACTTAATAGAATGTTGAACTTTTAACAGGATTAATGTTAGCTAAGCTTTCTTATACTATAAGCTAATCAATCCATTCCCGCTGATGAATTCTAGATTTTTGTTTCTTGAAATTTTTTGAATATTTGAAGGCAGCTGGTTTTTCTTTGAGCGCTGACGTGAACACGTACGGTGTTGTATGAAGAAAAAAGTAGTCAGGGATGACGTGCTTGAATTTTGCATATTTGTTTTTGAAATCCCAGTACCTCTAAACGGTAGGGTAAACTGATGGATAGACCTTACGTACGTGCTTCTTGCATTTGCATCAAAATTTTTGGTCAAGAATGAGCACAACATTTCAGGCGACGCAATGACATGGGCTAAGAACACAATTCGGTGATTTCAGCTCATGATTATGATATGGTGTCATAGAATAATATAATGATATGAAGTTATGATGCGCCTCCAAATCTATGTTATAGCGGCTACTTGACAGCTTACTAATGGTATTTTGCTGGCAAAGGTGTTCGAAATGCAATTTTTAGAGCAGAGAGATGAGATTCAGTAATCTTCATCAACGTTCGTATGTCTGCAATGTTCCGGCCTTGCACAAATCTGGTGGTCAGTGATGCCAAAATCCCTATATCAGGACTATATACCGTTTTATGACATAGAAAGGATGCCGAGTGGCATCAACGAATTGAAGCTGTAAACCATTAAAAACAGCGTTAAATGCTGATATAATTCTTATCTGCTAAAGAACTCTTCAAGAGAAGTGTAAGGCCTCCATACTTCACGCGATTTCAGTCGCAACGCGATTTGGCAATGCTCCAATTGTCCATAACTCATTGTAAGCGCCTTTCGGTGGTACAGAGAAAGGGGCATTTTATCAGCCCAAGTAAGTTATACACACCATGCATTTGCGTTAAATGCTGATATAATTCTTATCTGCTAAAGAACTCTTCAAGAGAAGTGTAAATCCTCGGGCATACTTCACGCGATTTCAGTCGCAACGCGATTTGGCAATGCTCCAATTGTCCATAACTCATTGTAAGCGCCTTTCGGTGGTACAGAGAAAGGGGCATTTTATCAGCCCAAGTAAGTTATACACACCATGCATTTGCAGTCCGCCAACGTTGGATTTGAAGAAAACTGGCAAATTGCCAGATCGCGTGGCGACTGAAATCGCGTGAAGTATGCCCGAGGCCTAAGCTGGGTGAAGTTATTGAGATCGTAATGATGATGTGTAATTAAGTTGGGGAGCCACCGCATAGTCTAAGGCTCGGACAGAGTTCACGCGACTTGATCGTCGCGATCTAATGCAACAAGGCAAGTGTTACGAGTTCATTGCATGACGATCTTCTTGTATCTCTCTTGTGATAGTAAGTTCACGATTAGTCGCGTTGGGAAACTATCACAACCAAATGCAAGAAGATCGGCATGCAATGAACTCGTAACATTTGTCTGTAGCGATTGAATCGCGACGATCAACCGAGTGAACTCTGTCCGAGGCCTAACAAGGGAATGGTAAGAAGTCGAAGTGGCCCATCCAAGCAAGTTGGCTACAGTTCAATGCAGATCCAAATCTGATTTCGAATCTCTGTATTCCATATCTGCTTAGCGCTTTTGTGAATGAAATCATAAGCAATTTTATTCCGAAAAAGTCCAACACAAAAATGACGAAATTGAGCACATTGTTACACCTTCAGCGCACCTTTAAGCCATATGAATATAAAGTAATCTAGCTAGCTGCATATTTTGGCCCAGCTTTGAGCAGAACATGGATTTTCTTAGCAAAATAACGGCTTTCAACGGCCCATAACTTCGCCCACATTGGCGCTAAGCAGATATGGAGCACAGATTCGAAGTCAGCGTTCTATGGTGCATCTAATGGTATGCAGCTTGTTTGGATCGGCCATTTTGATTTATAAACATTCCCTTGTAATAAAGTAATGAATAAAATTGGAATAAGAACGTTTCTGAAGTGTAACCATAGCTACAAGTGAAATATTTAGAACCAGTGCGTCACCTCTGCTTCGCAGAGGCTCGCACTGGTCCTACTTCATATGCCTTACTCATTCTTGACTAATGATGGCAATGAAACTCACCGCGCGGTGCCGATTATCGCGAGTAAAATGTAAACAACTACCCATTCCAAATGCTTTTTCATGTGAGATCGGTGATTTCGCTTGGATGAAACTTTTTGCAGAAGAACAAATACAAATTTGAGTAGGTTTTTGGACTCTTTCTGGTTTGATAGCTGCCATGAGGACAGTAGGCAACGTGAGCTACATCTCTGTGCAAAATTTTTCTCGAATGCTTAGGTAAAACTGTGGCAAATTAACCATTTACGGAACCATTTCATTTGGCGTCGTTCTCGTAAAGTAGTAAACTTTTGTCCACTTTTTTGGACTAAAGTTCATGGCTTGCACATCAGCATGCCAAACACATCCCCGACCTTGCAAAAGGTGGTGAAACGGAACCCATTTTGCTGGCCAGAACCCAAACGGTTCCGTTTGACGCGCAGTTTTTGTGGGATCCACCCAACAAAATCGCTCGTGTTTTTGCACGGTAGACTCTTATGTTGGTCGCATGCGGTATGCAAAATTTGGGCTCAGGACGTTGGCTGGAACACGCTCTACGAATTTCGTTACAGACAGACACACAGACATACACACACACACCCAAAAACACGTAAACATCCTTAGCCCGTTATTATAAGTTATGATACTTTTGTGAGAACACTAAACATCCTCTGCTTATCTTAGATTAGTTTAGAATGAGTTCTAGGTCTTTCGCGGAACTCCGTGCAAGAGGGTGAACCCACTATCAGAAATATAACCACTCGCTCTCAAATCCGTGTCTCAGAATTGATTAAAGATACCATATCACTATGGCAAGAAGATACATTTTGGGTTCATCCTCTCTATACAGTTCATTTTTTAAAATGAGTGCATACGAGCAGCTTGGACCAGTTGGAAATGCTCCGCCACCGCCTCCTCCAATCTTTCCACCACCGGCAGAGCCTCCTCCTCCTCCTCCACCATTAGATGCGCCTCCGCCGTATTTCGCACCACCGGCCGATATGTGAGTGTTTATTGCCTGCATTCTGACCTCTTGTGACATTTTTCTTGTGATCCTCGTAAGTTTTTTGTACAGTGAATATTCTCGAATTCGCTTCCTTATTCACTTTCCTCGAAAAATTTTTTTGGCTGTATATACCACTTTGTTCATCAAGCTTATAGGCTTGCTTGGAGTCCATAGGATCATGCAAACTGGTGAACGTACATATCGAAAATAAACAAAACTACGTCTGAATTGTCTTCGGTGACACAGCACGACTTTTTAGATGGTGCACAAGTTCTTTGGTTATTCGAAATGCGGAGAGTAAGCATGGCTTCGAAAAAAAAACATGCAGCCCTCTCCATAATAACAAGTTTTAGAATTCTTGTGTCATGCCGCGGGCATACTTCCGTCAGCGTACTTCGCGCGAATACAGTCGCCACAAACTGGCGGTCTGCCAGATCTTTTCCAACGCTTGCCGACCAACGCTTATAGAAGGCTTACTGACCGCTTACCGAGTACTAGCTTTCGCAGATTGGCAATGCTCCATCTTTTGTACATTCAGATTGCGGTTGCAAGTATAAGCAACTGCAGTCTTGTCGAATAGGGCCGCGAAAATCGCGTCAAGTATGTCCGGAGCATCACGCAATTGGACGTGTTGTGATGCGACTTGGCAATATACCAGTCGTTTATAACTCATCGTAAGCGCATTCTGAATGTGCAAGAGGAACATCAAATTTCTTCAAAAGTTACACAGACTATGCATTTGTAATCGGCGGGTATTGCATTTGAAGTTATTTAGTAAACTGCCAGTGTCGTGACTGAAGTCGCGAGAAGTATAGGCCGTTTGTGAAATCGTGACGACGGATTTGACTGCGGTCTTTACGCCTACAGGAGCAGAAAACATTCATCCAAAACGGCATCACTTCAACTCTCAGGCTTTGGCCATACTTCGCCCATGTTGCCGGTGTTGAAAGTGTTGCCGGTGTTGAAAGTGTTGAAAGTGTTGAAAGTGTTGCCAGTGTTGAAAGTGTTGAAAGTGTTGCCGGTGTTGAAAATGTTGAATGGAGATCATCAGTCTAGCAGTTTCATTCTTTCTTGAACGATTTCACCGGCGTGTGAATACACTGGAAATGGAATTGGGAAATGAGAAATGAAATCGGAATGAAATGGGGAAGATTTTCGCATGCAAAAGATGCTCAAACAAAATTTTTGGAAAGTGGACGGCTTGTCTGGAATAGGCAATCTCCAATATTTGGAAAAGCTGACGTCTGAGTAGTAATGTGTTTTAGTTCGAATCCTGCCGCGCTTGCGATTAGTGAGTAAAGGACCTAAGTGAGGTCTGCAGCGTTTTCCTATTCCAGACAAGCCGTCCACTTTTCAAAAAGTTTGTTTGAGGATCTTTTGCACGCGAAAACATTCTCCATCTCATTTCAGTTTCATTTCTCATTCCCCAATTCCATTTCCAACGTATTCACCAGCCGGTGAGATCGTTCGAGAAAGAATGAAACTGCTAGACTGATGATCTCCGTTCAACACTTTCAACACCGGCAACACTTTCAACACTTTCAACACCGGCAACACGGGCAAAGTATGGCCAAAGCCTCAGTTCAGCCTCTTCCAATGTCTAAATACTGTCATATGTAAGCAGAAAAACCATTCGAGTAGAGATGAAAATCCAGATAGAAAATGCGGTTGCCGGGAGGTGCGTGCGTGTCGCGCGGTCACGCCATCGTCGCGATTTTTCGAATCTCCTATAAATCCGAGGTCTTAGGCTTCAGTGATTATCAACAGAAGGCGCGAGCGTTATCTCGATTTTTCGTGGCTCTTTCCTTGTATGAAGGTCTGTAATACTAGTGAGCATGGTGAAAAAGGGAAAGGTAGAACACTCTTACCAAAAATGGATCCAAATTACCATTTTTTATGGGAATTTTCGATATTTCAACTTTCTAAGCAAGGTAAGATAATCAAGAATTATAAATTACAAACTTTGTTTGGAGACAAATTTTGTGGGGCTTGCCATTTTAATGCCCACTTCTCATCCAATTCATTTCGTCAAACGATTTTTTCTCGCTTTTTCTTTTCTTTTGTAGGTCCCCCTATACAACATTTTGCAGACACATAGCTTTATTGAAGGAAACGTTTCTGCATCTCTCTTCTGAATCGTTGGTGACAAAACCTGAGCAAAAGTTTTCTTTGCAAATTCCCTCTAGACATCGTTCAGCAATTTAACACAAAGCTATAGTAAACTTGTTTCGGTAGTTATGATCCTTACTCGAGTTCTCTTTTGACCTCGCTGACGCACGGTTTTTTGACGGCAGGAGATTTTGGAAAACCATGCTTTAGATCAGTTTGACAATGTTACAAGCTCAGAGGAGAACGTGACTACTCTCTGAACATCAAATCACTACATTTGTGCATTTAAAAACGCTCTTTTCAATCTTCTCCGAAAAGTTAATATAAGCTTTTCTGATGAGTACTAATGCTTCATTGCTTTATCTATTTTTTATGAAGCTCGCTTCTCCCCTTTTATATTCGGAAGTTGCAAACCAAAACAAATATTTCGCGCGTTCACGTTCAATCAGACTTCTTTATCTTCACTTATATGAGATAAGAAATTTGCTTTGAGGTAATTATAGACAGAACTCAAAAAAAGTTTTTTGAATGGTCGTCACGAGCTAGACCTGCAGCATGAGTACAAATTCGAATTTCTTCAGAGAAGTTTGTTCAATTACGCAGCCACTCTGTTCAGAAGATTGCAAGAGAGGAGCAGCCAGATTCTGCCAAAACTGTATCACAAAAAATTCAGATGTTTGACTGTGTGACCCTTTGGCCCAAACAGCTTTTGCGGATTTCCATGTACACAATGTGGGGCCTGGAATCAACCTAGACTTGCAGATAAAACGAAGCACTTGTTCTCTTCATTACTGTAGGGATTACGGTAGAATCTGTAGCACTAGCAATATTGTCAATGCATCAACTGCAATGTCGGAAAGTTCAGATTCGCCAGTAGATATAGTCAGAGCAACAAGAGTCGGATGTAACCAGATTTTTCATAATTATGGAAAAACCGCATCAGGTATACTGTCGTAATTTTTGAGCTAGAGATTGAGGTGTAGCGGATCTCTAAGATATAGAATAAACAAGTGACTTAACTTAGTAGCAGAGTTTTCAGCTATTTCAAACAATTGTGAATATGCTCCCATACATATGCGCATCTTGTTTCAAAATGCTCAGTAATTCCACAATCATGAAGGGGCACCGTTGATCCGTTTTCTTTTGCATCTATGATAAGTTAGAGCCAAGCCCTGAATAAGGTGTCTAAAGATTTGCGAAAGTACAAATTTAGACGTGAAAGTTGCTAGCTATAGACGTTCGATACCTTTCCCCAAGACACCATTTGGATGGTATTCACAGGTTGAGATTGTTGAAAAGTTTTAAAATGTTGAAAGAAACAGGTGGTCCAATTACCTGTCGTTTCACCCCAACAGTTTGACTTCTTCCTGTTTTAAAAAACCTCTTTTGAGGAAGCAAAGTCAAACAGAAGGGGAACATGCACAAACTGGGCAGCGAACGGGTGCTGCTGGAAGTGGAAAAGCCGCTACTGAACATTCTGGAAGTACAAGCCGCCCCATAAAACTGGTACATTTAGATTCGATAGTTTTCTTTTCATTCTCTAAGGAAAAGGTTGTTTTATCTCAATATCAAAAAAAACCCCTCAGTTGCCTTTCTTTCCGTGACCTTCACATATTTTCAGGATCCTGTGCAGTCTGTAGTGCTGGGTGTGTCAATTTTATTTGTCGCCGTCTTCATTGCAGCTCTCATCTTCTTCAAATTTTTCGACAATTACTGACCAGACGTTGGGCTAATATGTGATTGCCTCACTCAATTCGTGACTGTACTTTGTCTCTGATTACATTCATTATGGAAATGCCTATCTTAAAAATCTTTTTTGCTTCTACGACTATTGAAGATAAAAGTTTCAGATATGTAGGCGATACAAATCCAATAAAATGGTTGTCGTAGCCGAAGTGCTTTGGACCATCTCATGTTAATGTGTTATGAAAGTTGCTCATGTCGCGAACGGAAACCGAGTTTCTGCAATGTTGCTCGCGCAATGTCACACCAATAAACCTTGATTCAACTGGCTTGGCGGCTAGAAGGCGAGAATTGTGTAATTAAGGCCGCTCGCACCCGCGACGCAGTCTGCGTCTCTGTCGCTCGCGTGCTCTCTGAACATCTCCTAGCCTTGGTTAGGTCACGAAGCCCCACCTTCCAGCCGCCAAGCAAGTTGAATCAAAGGGTAAATCTTAATCACTACCCTAATTTCACAAGTGCGAGACGCACCTTTTTCGATTTCTCAGACAAGTCGTTCGTTGTGTTTCGGAAAACAAAGCTTTTGCCGCGCGATACCTTCAGGCAATGCCTGAAAGGTATTGGTGTGTTCAGGCTGGCCGAGTTCTAAGGAACCAGATGCGTCTTGTATTTGTCAAATTAGGGGAGCACAATGGATTTTCTGTCGTTGATCATGAGCAGATTTGCACAAACCTAAATTACGCACCCGTCCCGTCTAGGCTGTAAGTCTGCAGCGCTAAACCACAGCGTAGAATTGAGTACGCAACTTTCAGGAATAATCCTTTTCATTCACGCTTTCCCGCGTTTCACCCTCTCCTCTCCCATTCACCTTTTTCCCCACCCTGATAGCGCATAAAAATGCTGTTGTGTCTGTATCTCTAAAAGTCCGACAATTCAGGAAACGGTCGCAAGAGTCGACTAGGCAAAAAGTTGTCAGTTTATAAAGTTTAAGTTAAATACAGGGTGTCCCAAAAGGATGAGCACATTGTTTGATCGTTAATAATCTCTTGTTACCATGTATTTTGCCAACCTTGAGGTAGCATTCTGTAGAGCAATGTCTTAGATTTATAGTTTGGAGCGAATTACCATCGCCTACATTACTGCAGGTTTACCATAGGAACTTCGAGGAGAATTTCAAGCCATTGGAAGCGGCAGTTTGCTTCAGAAAGAAAGCCAAACAAGCCAGAAACTCTTGAACTGAGCTAGTTCAAAGTCACTGATTCTAAATATGAAATTTGCACTTCAGTACTTCTTTCATAAGTTATTTCTGATTTAGGGTAACAACTGTTTTTCCAATGTTCGTCCGAAATGTGAATACGCCATCAACAAAACTTGAAAAACTGGCGAAATGTTATGAGCGAAATCAGCACGCCTGAAAACCCCGCTACACAAATTTTCAGATTTTTTAAAATTATTTCATTAAAAGGCCTAATCCACAGTGACGCTGTATGCTGAAAGTTCATACCGTAATTCTACAGTAATGCTGAACGATTGGTAATTCGCTAAATACTACAAATTTAAGTTTAACCCCGCTCTACATAATGATTCATCAAGCTCGGCAAAAGACACCGAAGCAAGAGTTCTTAATGATCAAACGGTGCGTTTTGGGCACACTTTGTATAACCTTATTTTATGATTATTCAATGCCCCTTTCGATCAAGACTGTAACACTAAAATGTAGCGAACTATAATGTATTGCAAAATTTTAGCAAGGTGTCAAATGAAGCATCTATAGCCTAACGATTTGCAGAGTACTACTTTTCGTATGACGAACTTAAAAATTTGAATTCGCACATATGTAGGAAACAAGTGCTGCATCTACTACCCAACGAAGGTAGTGTATGTTTAGGCTAAGCGTACAGTGATGCCGGAGACCTTCTCAGAATTTCATGGCTAACTTCTCAAGTCGACAATCCTTCGACCAAGTGAGAGTTTCTCATAAAAACTCTCAATTACGCTCTAAAATGTCTCCTCAGGTAGCAATTGCACTGTCCTACTGCGGAAAGTCATGGCTTTCTGCCGCTTTATCACTTTATATGCATTTCCACTGGATTCCAGCGCTGGCACCGGTCTAATTTGGGAAGGATACTCGATCACAGTGACGATTGGGTAAGCAGTGTATACCGCGTTTACCGACCCCAGACGGTGATCTCTAAACCGCACTCCATGTCTGCTATGATGTCAAAGAGCTATGAAGGATTTTGCAAGAACGCAAAACGGCGGCATCCGAGGGGAATCGAACCCACGACATCCAGAGCAACAGTTCAAGCCACCTTCCGCTGCACCAGTCAACCACGGCAGTGATGAGAGAAGTATAGTACTCAAATGCCTTGCAGCACCAAAAATCCTTTATAGCTTCCCCAGAATGACGTCATAGTAGGTATGGAGTGCGGTTTAGAGATCACCGCCTGGGGACGGTATAGGCCCCGGACAGACTTCACGCGATTTGATCGTCGCGACTGAATCGCGACGAGACAACTGTTACAATATCATTCCATGCCGATCAACTTGCATTCGGTTGTGATACTTTTCCAGCCCGAAATTTTTGAATGTAAAATGAAAGTGAATGGAAATATCGGCGATTGAGTCGCGACGATCAAATCGCGTGAAGTGTACACAATTTTTTTAAAGGTGCCTACGGAACTAGAATAGTTAGAATTTCTGAGACTCACATTTTTTGGGGTTGGCCACAAGTTCTCCAAAATTATGGGGCAGATATTAAGCAACGAGTTCCACTGTGGTGCCCGCGCGTAAGCGAGGGCACGCTCAACACCCAAAGTTTAGGTTGTCTTATAAGCGTGGAGTTTTCATTCTTGTTCTTATTTTCTTGACGGGCGGTTGATTTGCGGCAGATGATCTATTTCTCGACTTCCAACTGTATGTTCTCAAAACAGAAAGAAGCATTTTTGAAACTTACACATTTTTTAACGAGAAGCCTTTTTGTATAGGTTTTCTGCCAATTATAGAAAGTAGTGCATCTTTGCATCTTTGCATCATTTCATCTTTGCTTGGCAAAGGTTCGTGTTGACCGCTACGGAGCTAAAGGGCTTATCAAACGCAGGGTCGCTTGCACCAGCACCACTCCCACGCTAGAGTCTGCATCTCTTCCGCGAACATGCTCTCTGATCACTTTCCCAGGGCGAGCGTGGGAAAGGCGTAGCCTCAATCGATTGGAAGTGATTAGAGAGCATGTTCGTGAAAGAGGCACAGAATCCAGCGTAGGACTAGAGATGCTGATGCAAGCGACACTGCATTTGATAAGCCCTGCACATAATTCTGACAAGTGTTCCTAATTACATCTGGCAAAATCACCCCATGTGAATACTTAGTAAATGGATCTGTTTTGCTTTCGACTTCCTTAATTAGAGACTTGGGCGTTTTTGTTGATTACCGGTTGAATTTCACTTCACATATTGATTACATCGTCAGGAAAGCTTACTCTACCCTATTCGCAACCTTTCGGTATATCCATTCAAGTCATTCCGTTGTGCTTATACGACTATTCATGACTTATAATAAGCGGCTTAATCTGAAGTTGTGTGGAGTTTGTCCGTTACGAAATTACAGTGAGGAATGATTTACGATACTAAACATCATGCGAGGTTAAGATAGCGAGTATGGTTCATTTTTAACTACGGCTCACTTTGCAATAAACCGAACAATGATTTGAGAACAAGCTCTCAGAAAGTGAGTTTACCACGGTTCACGATGCCAGTGCGAACCTCTGCGAAGCAGAGGTGAAGCACTGGTACGACTATATAAAGCTTGCGTGCTTTGACACCATGAGTATTGCTCTCAGGTATGGTCCATGTAGAAAAAAAATCATCAAACTCGAAAAGTCGCACTTTCACTCGAAGTCTTTTTTGAATGTTATTCTCTAAAAAATTGACATCCATTCCAGATTATGATAAACGACTCGAGTTCACTAAGCTGAAAAGTGTCGAGAGAACAGCAGGCGGCGCTCAGCTGTCGGAAGGTAGCTGAGCATTGCCTGCTGTTCTCCCGACAAAACTCTGAAACAGCGACGAATCATTGGCTGGTTTAGCATTTTGCTAAATCAACCGTACTGCGTAAAGAAATTGACGTCCCGGCTAGTGACTTTTGGGTGTTTAGACCAGTTAGCAGAGTGAGAGGCTTCGATCTCCATTACCCCAGACTTGGCAAATGGTGTTATTCGAGACTTTTTAACTGTTTGTTCTATCGTTGTGCGCGCTGGTTTAGACAATTACCTTCGAAATTGCTATCAGCTAAAAATAGTTCGACTTTCAAAAAAGCGTTACAAAATTTTGATGACAAAAACTATAGAAGGCGTCCTACTTCATATCTGTGTTAATTCTCAAAATGATCAATTCAAGTGTCTTCTATATTGTTCAACTACCCTAATTTCACGCGTATAAGGCGCACTTCTTCGAATTTTCAAGTGAACAGCTCAACCGCTTCACTGTATTCCGGAAAGAAATCCTTACATCGCACGATTCTCTCAAGCAATATACAGCACGTTATAGGGTCCTTTGGTTGTAAAGTCCTTCGACTTGTTTGGGCGTCGAATTTTGGAAAAAAATCACCCGCGCCTTATATGCGTGAAATTAGGGTACATTGCAGTTTTATGGATTTTATGGCTTACTTCGTCCCATGGCTTACATCGGATGATTGTTTGATACAGCTGATTATCTGGCTTGGACTGCTAAGCTGGCTGGTCACACTATTAATTCTTTTCTTCTATCTACCACCAGCTGACCATGCTCTTCTCACGAAAACTGATATTTAGTTGCTTTTTCTCAACTTATCAGTGCACTAAGTGAAGTTTTTCAAGCGAATTACCTGACCAATCGCAATCATACATCTAAACACGTCTGCGCTGTTTAGAGCTTTGATCGCGCACTCATATTTACGTATGTTGCTCAAGCACGGAGGGAAATGGAGGCGGTAGGTAGTATAAACGAGGCCTAGGTACGCGTAATCTAGCCATATCGCCTAGTTTACTACAATGCTGACCACTCGAAAGCGATGAATCCATGTTGTTGGTAATTCACCATGGCAACACATTGTTTCGTTATTTTGGGCACTACGTTTAACTACAACATTCTTGAATGCCTAAGGTCAAAGCT